CAGAGGATGCTTACTGAGCATGCGCATGTATATTTAACTTTTATTATCAAAGGTAAACGCATTTGTCAACAGTCTAGAATTGCAACTGTTTGAGAACCAAAAAAATTAATAAAAAGATATCCTTTTTCGCGGAAAAATGGCATGACAATCCTAAACTCAAAGCTAGGAATGATTAATGTGTAAACCGACTAAACCAACCAGCGTCAAAGAACGAGTCAAATGGCGGAGCGAGAGCGTTTCAAACTGAAATGTGTTTGACTAAGTGACAAGGCAAAAACAATTGTCCACAATCCCCTTAGGGCCGCTACGCAGGCTAGGTACTATCAGGTATAGACCCCTTGCAGTTCATGGGAATGCAGCTCCAGCTRGAGGACAAAACAATGGATTCTAGTTCCCAAGAGGATAAAAATCTTTTGTTTTGTCCTCCAGATGAAGCTGCTTTGACGTCACATGCAAGGGGTCTATACCCGTGCAGCATTTAAGGGAATGAAATTATGAGCTTTGTCATGAAATAAAAGCTTTGCATAAACAGTGAATCATATCACTTGCAAAACAAATGAAGCATAAATAGGTTCGACTTTGTTGCACAAATACTGGGAAATGTTAAATTTCTTTCAGATGAACTTTCATCTAGTTACTATATTCAGTGTAAGTCCCATTCAGTTCCCTGAATACTCCCTTGTTGCTGAAGCTACGTACAAAGCTAGTGATATGATCTATTTTAATTTATTTCTGAATACGCGAGACATCAATACATAGCCCAGCGGCTAGCGCACTTAACTTGAACTTTGTTGACATCACGGAATGTTGTGAAAAGGTAAGAGATTATCCTTTTTGCATAATTTTCCATGCAAAAATCAACAATTTTCATCGTTGAAAATAATAATTAAGATATTTAATGTTTTAGTGACAGAAGCACAAATCTGAAAGGTGTTGTGCGGCACTTTCCGACGATACTTTAAGCGTGTAAGTTATTACTATGCACAACGTGTACACATAAACTTTGCGCACAAATTATTATAACCTTAGCTTATATCTCGAGGAACTAAGCGGTGATTATACCATGTGCAATATCACATCTGAGCTACGGAAGATTTTTTCACAAGTATTGTCAAATGCTCACAGTTCTTTTTGAAGTTTTGACATTGAGACTTTGGGGTATCTTTTCATAATTAAGATTAAATATTTATAAAGAAAACAAAGGGCCACACGTGTCTCTGTTCTCCGATGTAAACACGACGTTGCCAATTTGTCTTCTAATATGATATCCTTAAATTATTCTACTTGAATGCTGTCCACGATCAACTATTCTTAAAGCCGCCGCTTCTATACTACACGGGCGATTTTTCGCTGGCGCAGGCGACGCGATTTTCTAAAAATCTCCAGCGCACGTTGTGGCAACGCGAGCGACAAGCTCCATCGATAAAAAAATACTCTCCAATGCTTATTTGAATCTCCATTAAGAGGTTAATATACAAAACAGCTCAAATTCGATGTTCAGCTTTAATTGTACCCGAAAATCGCGTCGCCTAATAGTTATCGGGACACATTTTTAAAAAGTAGAATACAAATGTCAGACCCATGCAATGGCAGTGTTTATATTTTAATTTGCATAATTGTGATCAAAATTATGTGTATCGTATTTAAAATATGAATGGGTACTCTTGACATTCAATATGCTTGGCTGGAGTTTGTAATCTGAACTACTTGAGTAAGAAGTTCACTAAATCAGTCCCCCGGATATATTTGCTATACGGGGACGTGCCGCTGGCCAGGGTATGGTTTTTGGCCTTGTTGTCTTAAGCANTGGGTACGAGATTGACTTTTATTATCAAAGGTAAACGCATTTGTCAACAGTCTAGACTTGCAACTGTCTTATCTGAGAACCAAAAAAATTAATAAAAAGATATTTTTCGCGGAAAAATGGCATGGCAATCCTAAACTCAAAGCTAGGAATGATTAATGTGTAAACCGACTAGCCAACCAGCGTAATTTAAGAACGAGTCAAGTGGCGAATCGAGAGCGTTCCAAACTGAAATGTGTTTGACTAAGTGACAAGGCAAAAACAGGCTAGGTACTATCAGGTACCCGTGCAGCATTTAACTGATTTAAGTGAACTTTGTCATGAAATAAAAGTTTTGCATAAACAGTGAATCATATCATCATATCACTTGCAAAACAAATGAAGCATAAATAGGTTCGACTTTGTCGCACAATTACCGGGAAATGTTAAATTTCTTTCAGATGAACTTTCATTTAGTTGCCCTGAATACTCCCTTGTTGCTGAAGCTACGTACAAAAGCTAGTGATCTATTTTAATTTATTTCTGAATACGCGAGACATCAATACATAGCCCAGCGGCTAGCGTACTTAACTTGAACTTTGTTGACATCACGGAATTTTGTGAAAGGTAAGAAATTGCTCTTTTTGCATAATTTTCTATGCAAAAATCAACATTTTTCATTGTTGAAAATAACAATTAAGATATTAAATGTTTTAGTGACAGAGGCACTAATCTGAAAGGTGTTGTGCGGCACTTTCCAACTTTAAGCGTGTAAGTTATTACTATGCACAACGTGTACACATAAACTTTGCGCACAAATCATTATAACCTTAGCTTATATCTCGAGGAAACAAGCGGTCATTATACCATGTGCAATATCATATCTCAGCTACGGAAGATTTTTTTACAAGCATTGTCAAATGCTCACAGTTCTTTTTGAAGTTTTGACATTGAGACTTTGGGGTATCCTTTCATAATTAAGATTAAATATTTATAAAGAAAACAAAGGGCCACACGTGTCTCTGTTCTTCGGTGTAAACACGACGTTGCCAATTTGTCTTCTAATATGATATCCTTAAATAATTTATTCTACTTGAATGCTGTCCACGATCAACTATTCTTAAAGCCACCGCTTCTACACGGGCGATTTTTCGCTGGCGCAGGCGAAGCGATTTTCTCAATATCTCCAGCGCACGTTGTGGCTACACGAGCGACAAGTTCCATCGATAAAAAAAAATACTCACCAATACTTATTTGAATCTTCATAAAGAGGTTTATATACAAAACAGCTCAAATTAGATGTTCAGCTTTCATCGTTCCCGAAAATCGCGTCGCCTGCGCAAGCGAAAAATCCCTCGTGTAGCTTCGGCATAATAGGTCTAATAGTTACTGGCGATCGGGACACATTTTTAAAAAGTAGAATACAAATGCCAGACCCATGCAATGGCAGTGTTTATATTTTAATTTGCATAATTGTGGTCAAAATTATGTGTATCGTATTTAAAATATGAATGGGTACTCTTGACATTCAATATGCTTGGCTGGAGTTTGTAATCTGAACTACTTGAGTAAGAAGTTCACTAAATCAGTCCCCCGGATATATTTGCTATACGGGGACGTGCCGCTGGCCAGGGTATGGTTTTTGGCCTTGTTGTCTTAAGCAGGGCATACATTTCACCCGAAATTGTCTTAAACAGGCTCTACAATTTAGATAAAAGATCTGTGAGACGGAGTTTAATAAGCATTATATGGTTGGCTCCAAATAGAGTCGTTTGTATATCATCATTTTCAACATCTCTTGCTTCCGGCCTTTCTTTGTTGAAGAGATATGCCAAGGGTTTGCAATACATTTGCCGACCTTACTTGAATGAGTGCAATTCCTCCAGGAATTCCTACAGTATGCTTGAGGGTAGTCGTTTTCTTTTCTTTACTTTACTTTACTTTTCTTTTCTTTATAGGTGTTATCTATAAAGCAATAAGTCATTTTGAGTAAGATTACTACAGAAAACACAAGTGCGAGTTATAACATTGGCTTTGCGTTCCCCTTGATATAATTTTTTTGTGTGTCTTAGACAGGGTAATATTTTCATAAGAAATACCGCAGAAATACCGTTTCACTGTAGCAGGATTAAAATATTATCAAAATCTTTATTATTGTCTTTGATGGATGTCAGTATAATTGCAGTTTTGATGGTTGCGGCGTAGATAGCTATTCCTTATTTTTCCGATTTGTTTTGAACAGGTTATGGATTTTTACTTTCTAG